CATATATCCTGCTTCCAAGCTTGTTTTAATTGGGGAGCTCCACCAAACTCTGTCCACCATGGGTAACCATTATTGCATTTGACACATCAGTGTCACAGTGTTCAGCATCACAGCAACCACGGGTTACCTCTGCACAACAAATGGACTATATGTTTGTAGGTAATGTAGAAAACAAGTTTGAATACAAAATAACAGGTCTTTTGATTCTATCCATAAAAACCTCTCCATGACTTGATGCTGTTGTGTATGTGGGTGTGCATACACTCTAAATATTGCTGAAATAACCCTAACCCTGAGGCCTCAAGTAGCTAGATGCTCCCTCGCTCCCTCACTGCTGTGTCCTATCACAGTTACATGTGAATCTTGTCAGCTGGGTGAGAATGAGAAGGGTCCTGTGTCTTTAAGGAGATGCACTGTGGAAGGACCCTTCACTGCAGTCTCTTTCCCCTTCCCTCCCCAGGAGACTGCAAGTGCTCCAAGACCTAACCAAGCTTTTAGAGGAAAAGAAAAATTTATGAATTTGTAATCAATTCCTCTTTCTACTGTAGCATCTTCTTGGAGTCACAGGGACTCTATGAAATGTCCCGAATGTGGTGGTCACCAATCAACTATTTTTGTCATTGACCAATGACAGATGCTTTGCCCTATTTGGCTCATATGGAAAAACAGTGTAGGAACTTGCATTGCTAATGACACAGCTTGCTTGACAGATATCTGGAAAGGACTTCTCATTCACTGGGCAGAGAATTTGAGAAAACTTAAGTTACTTTTTATTTGCTTAAGAAATGTGTGTGTGTGTGTGTGTGTGTGTGTGTTTGACACAACAGCAGAGTTTTAGGGTCACTGTATGTGGGAAACTCCAGCGGAGCTCTGGTAGCATAATCCATAGGGAGTTGTACTGTTTCCCCAAAGACTGTGTCTTTCTGGTGGTTTGAATCTACTGGTGACATTGAGGTAGAGAGAGGGACCATTTCCTACCATATAATTTACAGCCTTGTAAACCCAGTGGAAGGTCAGCTGCAAGTTGGTTCTAACTCAATAGCAATGAATGATAAGCGGGAAATGCAGAAGCCATTTTTTCCTGTTTAAAAACACCTCGCAAGCCAAAATAAGTTCCATCCTAGTTTGAAGGCAGTAAAACTTACCTCAAGAATCCCTGGGTGGTACAAATGCTTAAGTGATCAACTATTAGGTCACCAGTTTGAACTTCTCCAAAGTTGCCTCAGAGGATGATCTTGGTTATCTCCTTTTGAAAGGT